CTCGGATGACCCCTTCTCATAATTAGAATGTATATAACCTAGCCCTATTCCGGTCTGGCCCGGTATGGAATGAACTTATAATCATGGAATCGACTYGATCATCAGATTATAGATTATAAGTTCATAACCCTAGCTCATTCCCATTTTGGGCAGTTATTCTCTCTATATTTCAAAATCCCTTAAACTTCTTCTGAATTAAATCTTCTTTTAAGTTTATAGTTGATATTTTAGGTTTTGTATTTTTCTTATCAATTTAAGAATTTGAAGAATAAAATAAAAAATGATCTTCAAGTTATTTTATGGATGATGTATAGATCGGTGATTTTCTAAAATTATTATCCATCTATTTAGGTAGTACAAAGCTGGTTAGAAATTTTCTAAAATCAAGATGTTTTTGTTTAAGGGTATATCTATCAAAATGTAGAATTGTACGATACTTTTGACTATTTGATTTTAGGAGCATAGTTGTCCTAAATAAAATTGAAAATTAAGTCATAATTGTTAGTCATTGTCACACTATTAGATGCTTTTGACCCTTTTTCAAAACACATTAGTTTATGCAATTTGCCATATAGTAAATAAGACACTGATTTTGGCTGGTTAGATTACAACCAACCATTCTTTTATTCACTATATCCAAAATATAAGTAAAATTAATACGTAAATATCTATGTTAAAAGGATATTTTGGAAAAAAATTATGAAAAATGTGCAAATCCCAATAAAATTATCGAAAGACTTTTTTTCTTAATTCAAATAATATTAGACGATTAATAACCATCCTAGTTTACAGTGTAAGTAGTAAAAGATTTGAAAGAAATAAGCTCAAACACATATGTCCTATACTAAAATTTAGTCCTTAAACTAGTAAGTATTTATTTTTGTGAGAGACATGAGAATGATAGGTGTCTTAATCCAGCTATGCTCAGGCTGGCTAATAAATATTAATTTAATTCTTGTAGTTGAAAGCTTTTAATTTTTTTTGTACAATATGTTGGTAAGTTTGTAATGATTTAGTCTCTATCATTGAAAGATATTATTAAGATTTTATAAAGTTTATGTGTAGATTGATAAAACAAATGTGTTTATAAATTATAAATGCTAAAAATTTTAAACTATAAGATTAAATTATTACCTAAAGTTTGATAAGGATTAAATTGTTACGATTTGAAAATCTAGCAACTAAAAGTGTTTTTTTAACCATAATACAAAATTCATGTACTAAATAATTTTTTAGTTTAATTAATTAATTTTCTTTTTGAAACGATACATTTGTGTGTAACAGATTAACAACAGAACAGAACAGAACTGCAGAATTCCCTCTCCCTTCTTCTCTGAAGCAGTCGAGAATCCAGATCCTCTCTCTGAAATCAGGCCTTTCCATTTTCGTTCTTTCGAGTTATCGTTCTCATAATCCTCTCTCACCCATGGCGGATGCTGTTGCTAACATTCACATTACTGTTTATGCATGATGGGTATGGCTCAATTTCTCAGTCTCCATCTCTCCACGTTTGATCAGATCATCCACTGAAGGTATGTCCACCGCCAACTCCCCTTGCGATTTTTTTTTGAAATGGAAACAGCTGTTCAAATGCTTCCATGTCTGAAACAGATTTCCCTTTCAATGTGTTTGTTTGTACAAGTTCTCGACATGGATGCCAATTGTTATGTAATTAGAACGAGTGATTTTAGGTTCGAAAATTTTGACAGATTTATCGAAATTAGATGGAAGTTTTAATCTCTGATGGGGACTGCTCTCTTTAAAATCGAAAGGGAAATTCGTCCGCTCAATCTTGCTCCGGCGAGCTCTGCATTGTAGACATTGTCCGCTGTTCAAGTCGCTCAAGAATTCCGGCCTACGGCTTTTTGTCCTCTTGCAGGTACTCATGTGAATGATGGGCTTCTAACTTTGTCTTTATTCTCCTCAAGTTTCAACAGTTAAATTAAGAAAACATTATAAAATTGTATAAATTTTTCTAAATTTAACTGCAGTATTTATTTTTTGGTTTCTCAAATTTCTCTATGTTCATCAAAGTGGTGATGGTATTCTGAATTCATTTTTATGACTGTGGGATTATGTTGTCCATCTATGGCTAGTTTTCTTTTTGAGACAAGTAACGATGTTTTCTTCCCTGTTACTTCATTATTAGGTGATGGTCTTTTCTGTGTTTCCAGTTGTAAATTGACATTATAAGCTAAGAATAAACATTGGATCCCTCCACCCCACCCTCCAAAAAAGAAAAAAAAAAATGGGAACGATAAGGTTCCTAGTATCTCACAGTGGACTAGATCATATGTTCTCTACATATTTTTTTTTCTGAATTGGACTAGGTAGAGTGCACTGGTTTTGACTTTTGAATTGAATATTTGATTGAACATAAATACTGCACCCTTGCGTAGCACTTTGTTGAGTACCATATGATAATCTTGATATCTATACAGTATATAGGATATTATATTAGTATTTATTTTGGATTGTTGTAGAGTTTGTTTTTAATAATGGAGGCGAAACCAAAGAGGAGAGCCGCTGCAGAGAATGGGGAAACTGCAGAAGACCTGGTCCTCGCAACATTAATTGGGAATGGTGAGGATCTTGGTCCAATTGTTAGACATGCATTTGAAATGGGCCGGCCAGAAACCCTTCTTCATCAGCTGAAGAACGTTGTAAAGAAGAAAGAAGTTGAAATCGAGGAGTTGTGCAAGACCCACTATGAGGAATTTATCCGTGCTGTTGATGAACTTCGTGGGGTATTGGTTGATGCTGAAGAGCTGAAGGCTGAACTATCAACTGGTAATTTTAAATTGCAAGAGGTTGGCAGTGCACTTTTGATTAGACTCGAAGAGCTTCTTGAATGTTATTCAATAAAACAAAATGTGACTGAAGCCATCAAAATGTCCCAGAATTGTGTTCAGGCGCTTGATCTCTGTGTGAAGTGCAATGATCATATTTCTAAAGGCCAGTTTTACCCTGCATTGAAAACTGTCGATCTGGTTGAGAAGAATTACTTGCAGAATATTTCTGTCAAGACACTAAGAATGGTCCTTGAGACAAGAATTCCTGTGATTAAATCTCATATTGAGAAGAAAGTGTCTACTCAATTTAATGAATGGCTTGTTCACGTAAGGAGTTCTGCAAAGGTTATTGGGCAAACAGCTATAGGCCATGCAGCAACTTCTCGTCAAAAAGATGAGGAAATGTCAGAACGTCAGAGGAAAGCTGAAGAACAGAACATTGGAGGGCTAGGAGATTTTGCATATACTTTAGATGTTGGTGATGTTGATGAGGACTCCACTCTTAAGTTTGACCTAACACCTCTCTATCGGGCATATCACATTCATACATGTCTTGGGATCCAAGAGCAATTTCGTGAATATTACTACAGGAATCGAATGTTGCAGCTTAATTCCGACTTGCAGATTTCCTCTAGTCAGCCGTTTATTGAATCCTATCAAACCTATTTAGCTCAAATTGCAGGATATTTTATAGTGGAGGATCGTGTTATGAGGACTGCGGGAGGGCTATTGTCAGCTGAACAGGTTGAAGCAATGTTGGAAACTGCTGTCGGCAAGGTGACATCAATGCTGGAGGTACAGTTTTCCCTCATGGATTCTGCAACTCACCTTCTCCTGGTGAAGGATTATGTTACTCTTCTAGCATTTACTCTTAGACAATATGGATATGAAGTTGGCCCAGTTCTTGAGACTCTGAATAAAAGCCGGGACAAATACCACGAGCTTCTTTTGGAAGAGTGCCGGCAACAGATTGTGGATGTTCTTGCTAATGACTCCTATGAGCAGATGGTTATGAAAAAAGACAGTGATTATGAAAATAGCGTTCTTGCTTTTAATCTCCAGACTTCTGATATAATACCTGCGTTTCCATATATAGCACCATTTTCTTCCACTGTTCCTGATGTCTGCCGCATTGTGAGGTCCTTCATTAAAGGGTGTGTTGATTACTTGTCCTACAGTGCACATTCTAATGTTTTTGATGTTGTGAAGAAATATTTGGATAGGCTCCTAATTGATGTTTTAAATGAAATAATACTCAATATTATTCATAGCGCGTCCATTGGTGTTTCTCAAGCCATGCAAATTGCTGCAAATATAACTGTTCTGGAAAGAGCCTGTGACTATTTCCTTAGGCATGCAGGTCAGTTATGTGGGATGCCTGTTCGATCTGTAGAGAGGCCACAAAGCGGTTTTGCTGCAAAAGTTGTTCTTAAAACTTCGAGGGATGCGGCTTATATAGCATTATTGACTTTGGTGAATACCAAGTTAGATGAGTTTATGGCTCTTACAGAGAATATTGCTTGGACATCCGAGGAGATTACGACAAATGCAAATGACTATATAAATGAAGTGCTTATTTATCTAGATACTTTACTGTCCACTGCGCAACAGATTTTACCTATGGAAGCTCTGTACAAGGTCGGGAGTGGAGCACTTGACCATATCTCAAACTCTATAGTTTCAGCTTTTCTTAGCGACAGTGTCAAAAGGTTTAATGCGAATGCAGTCATGATTGTCAACAATGATCTGAAAATGCTGGAAGCTTTTGCGGACGAGAGATTCCACAGCACGGGATTGAGTGAAATTTACAAAGGAGGTAGTTTCCGAAGCTACTTAATTGAGGCCCGACAATTGATCAACCTTTTGCTGAGCACTCAGCCTGAGAACTTCATGAATCCGGTGATAAGAGAGAGGAACTACAACATGTTGGATTATAAGAAGGTCGCTAGTATATGCGAGAAGTTTAGGGATTCTCCTGATGGGATCTTTGGCAGCCTTTCAAGTAGAAATACAAAGCGAGACACTCGCAAGAAATCAATGGATGTGCTGAAGAAAAGACTGAAAGATTTTAACTGAGGCTCGAAGATTGTCTGCAGTGGGAGTAGAAGATTTCTTTCTCATATTTATTGAATACCTGTACAGATGTTTTTGCTGCTAGATTTTGTTTGGATGATCTATATTATTGGATTTAGTGCCTAAATCTTTAGGTAATAAAGCCGTGGCTCTTCTTCATGCTTGAAGTTGCAGTATGAATCAATGGAAGAAATCTTTGGTCAGTGCCCTTCGTTGCATCATTGTTGATTGTTTCATGGTTTTGTACATTATAAACCTGTTCCTGTGTCCATTTGATGAGTCCATTTGATAAAAAGGATAGTGAAACACCATTGTCTTTGTTGTTCCTGAGCCCATTTGTCTAAAAGTTTGTATCAAACAAAGTATAACTAATAAAAATAAGCTTGACCTAAATTATTTTAAAGAGTAAATGAAAAAAATGGTTTAAATTATGAATTTGGTTCATATGATTTGGACATAATTTCAATTTGGTCCCTATCATTTTAAAAATTTCCATTTGGACCCTAAAATTTTGTTTTAACTTAGATTTTTTCTTATTCTTATTTTGTTAACATAAATTCATTGGACATAGATGCCCATTTTTAATTAACTAGCTAATTATCTTCGATCTGTATTCTGTGGCTAGAATAATAGTACTTGGTTTTGTTCTTATTCCTCTTGTTCTGACTTTGGCAAAGAACAAGAGCATGGATGAAGAAGGTATATTCAATTATCAGAACTCTAACTTGTTACTTAAAAATTTCTTCTAAATGCACAATCTTCTCATGAGAGAAGCAACATTAGTTATGCAAGATGCATATCAATCACTTTCCTATTGAGGAACATATCTGGATTGCTTCGGTTCTGGAGCCTTCCAGGTTAAAAAATTATTGTTAAATAATATAGTTTCCTATAGATAAAAGTGATAAGCCTTGTACAAGAAAATAATGTTTGTTCATTTGTTGCTTCTAGTTATATATATACACACATACTACGTGCACATATATCTTCTTGGCATTTTGAATTCCCTCTCCATATATATTTATATTGTTAGAGTTATAATCCAAGAAAATAATAGGATGCAGGGCTTGGTGAAATTTAAAAGTCTCTTTCTCCATTTGTTGACAGTTACTAAAATAATGGAGTTTTTCCCCATTTCATAAATGACCTCCCTCTCCCAAACGGAAACACATAATTTTTTGACCTCAGGTTGTTGTGTTATTCTAGTTACAGGATAGGAAGGAAGTAGAGCTGTGGAATAAAGCTCAACAGCTTGTTTCACCCTATGGAAAGGTATGCATGAACATTTAACCTTTATGATGAAACATAAAACATTGTTGACATTGAAAAGCATAATTTTAGGATGGTAATGCTCTAAAGCAGATCATGCATTGGTAGAATTCGGAAGTATAATTTTTTTATTGGGTAATGTCAAGGACTGCTATTTTATTTTGCATTTCATCTCTTATTTGATTTCATACTATGGTTTCAATTTATAAATTCATCTCTTATTCTTCATTTGTTTTAGCCCCCCAGTAGCAACCATTCTTGTTTATTCGGGATACTTGCCATTTATTTAGGGAAAAATCTAATCTTTTGTGGGAGAATCCATGCAGTCTATGCTGTAAATATGTGGAAAGTGCGAGGAAAAAGAAAAACTTAAAGCCCGTTTGGTAATATTCCCGTTTCTCGTTTCTCGTTTCCAAATTTCTTAATAAATCTAAACATTTTGCAACTAATTATGTTTCTTATTTCCTTTTTTTTTTGGAACATTCTCAAAATTGTATTGAAATTTTGGAAACAACCAAAAACAAGATTCTTCTTTCTTGTTTCCATTTCCAATTTGTCCCAAAACATAAATAAGAAAATTATTTTATCACATTTGAATTCATGGATGTTGGGACCATGTAATTCATTTTTTTTAATTAAAAATGAAGAAACAGGAACAAGAAACAGGAACGTTACCAAACGAGCCCTTAGTGTCTGGTTTCTTGATCTATTAAATTTTTTACTCTCTAAGGATTCAATTCGGTATAACCTAGTGGGTGGTTACTGACACCCAAAGGTCTAGGGGTTTGTAGTTCTCAAGTATGCTAAGGTAGTGAATTATGTTAAAGCTCTGTCAAAAGGGAGAAATAAATAACGAACCATGAAATGAAACATCATGCAAATTGTGAAAGAGTTATCTGATTAGTCGTAGATTTTTTTAAAAACTTTTTTTTCTTTGATATCCGTATTTAGGTTAGTTTATGCGTACCTTGACTTATCTCACGAGACAGATGTTTAGTCCTACAATATTGAGTGGTCAAGAAACTCGTATTATAACATCAAAGGTTGGTACTAGGAGGCAGAAATTTGCTTGGGATGTGTGGATCTTGTTGGTCTTTGATGGGGACTTTTAAGAAGTCTAGTGGAGTGTTTTCATTGGACTATGAAGAACTTTGATTAGGTTTCTCAACATTTCAACTTTGCGGACAGAAGGAGAAGGTAGTGTATTGCATTTTTGTTTCATATTTTCCTATTTATAACGGCTAATAGTCCCTCCATCTTAGAGCAAGAGAAGGAAGGCATTGAGATTGAGAAAGTAGACTTATTTCAGCCGGAGCACAAGATGTGACGAAGGCAGGGGATGGGTAATGATGGAGCAAAGGAAATATATGTTTCAAGAAATATTCTTTTAACGTTTTAGATGATAGATTTATTTTGACACATTATTGCCAGAGATGGAAGACGGTTTTGTTACTTTGACTCTCAATTATTGTGAAATTTTAGACGGTTGAGTGATAGAACCGGAACACTAACAATATATTGAAATATAAAAAGTATAAGAACTACAATAGCTACCACATAATTCGAGTTACTTAGACTCTCATCTCTTGAGATATCATTCAAGTCCAACCCGTTTCCCTAACAACTTTCCTATCTAATTACTAAGGTACCCTCAATACTCTAATAATATCCCTAATTATCTTAAGGTCATTCTTATTATTGAGCTCTTACCTACATTTAAGGGCAATTTGATTATGTCAGTGGAAATAATCTTTCAAGTGTGTTTAAGGGAGGCAAAGGCGGGTTTATGTCTTGGTTTGGCTCCCATTTACTAAGGGGCCGGCCGTTAGAAAGAAAGTAGTTCTTAAAGTAGTTTGGTCCCCAAGGTGCATTAATGGGTGGTGTTGGTTCCTTGAGCATACTAACATGCATTCACGGCATTCCTAGAGGATCTTAGATTTAATGGGAATGAAATTCAACGGGATCCAAGAGACCATGTGTAACGCTCCAGGTCTAGGATTCAGAATTCGGATTTGGCCCTAATTGCCCCGGCATTCTCCTGCAACCCAGCCGTGACACCATTCTAGTTCTGAGCTACTTAGAAGAGCATAGACTATCCATATAGACTAACTCGAGTCCTTTCAGCATGCTTTGTCCTCACTCACATGTTTTCTAGTAAAGCAACTAAGAGGTCACCCAGCCGAAGATTGCTCCAAGTCAAAACATGCTTAACTTTAGAGTTCTTACGATTGAGTTACCGAAAAGGAAGGTGCACCTTAGTATAGGTAGTAACTACCATTCCTTTTAAACTTTTTAAACCATGCTTCTATGGTCTCAGGATCCCTCTCATTTGGATGTGGTATCGGTTCATTCATGTACCATTTTCTCTAGTTAGGCGTTACACCATGTCTTCATCTATAGGTGAGGGCTCTCAGCCACATGAATAGTTCGATGGCTCATTAGCGCCTAACGATCTGGTCAAGTGAGCTTGGGTCTTAGAACGTGTTACGGTGTCTTACAACTGATTTCATAAGCTAGTTTGGCCAAGCTTGAGTCTTAAAACTGCATTTAGGAGTATGGGTGGGGGTTTGTTATGTATTCAAGAGTGCATTTAGATGTAGTAGGGGTTTGGTTAGCAAAATACCTAATGTATGAATAGAAGTTGATAGGTCCAAATTTCAAAAAGCTGCTCTCACTCACAATATCACTGCTAATTTTGTAGGCCTCATAAAAGCAAAATGGAGGTGGGAGAAATGGAAGTGGAGAACAGAGCAGAGGATGATCCATAATTGAGCAGCTTCAGCTTCTGCTTCAGACACCTGTTGTCCAAGAAAAAAGACACAATCACAGCTTCCACTAACACAGAATTATTATGGTATTGGTTTGTTTGGCTTTGCCGACCATTTGAAATTTTGACTCCAACACCAACACCAACACAGAAACCCAACTCTCTTGTTCTGTTCTACAATAATCTAAAGCCATTTTACATCATCATCATCGTCATCAGTTCAACCCATTATTCTCTTTGAATTCAACACTTTCTATAGACTTGTTTTCAATTCAATTCTGTTGTCCTTTTGTTCTCAATTTTTTTTCTCATCAAGATTCCAGATCATGTCCATCCGTGAGTTCTGTGCACGCGCGGGTCCCGCCCGCGATTTCTTTTTTGGTATAAAAAACAGATTTGGATTCTCTCTGTGTGTGTGCCCACTTTGGATTGTGTTTTAGGAGGAACCCATCAATGGTTGGTGATGGTCTTGATTTTTATTTCTTTTAAGGACTGAAGAATGTGGCAGGACACAAAAGAGGGCAAACATGTAATTTAACAACTTAACCTAAAAAACTAGAAGCAATAGACACGGTCTAATAATCATTTTGTTTTTTTTAACTGTTTCTAAAGACTAGGTTTGTTTTCATCAATTATTTAGTAATTTATTTCATATTTCTTAAAAACACATTTGACTCCTTAGTCAAATTTTAAAAAACAAACATGTTACCAAATTCTCGAGCGTCATGAAGGCGGAGGGTCCAAGTCCACACTCGATAGGTTGGGAGGGAAAGTCTGCATGTCCCAAGACGACCAACAACCCTCCTCGACCATTCCTCCTTGAGATAAGACTAACCAGTGGGATATCCATTACTATTATCCATTGACATTTGGGAAGTGTGGTTTCGGTGTGACAGGATGGCGAAAGTATGATTTTACTTGTCAAAGTATTCTTATTGTTGGCCCGTAACTCTGCCTACAATACACCCAGATCTCCCTACGCACGTTTCCCAAAATGCTCTCATATCCAAACTGAGTTCTAACTTAAGTATCAGTGTATATTAGCTACGTCAGAAAATCGAATTTTGACATCCATGGGACATGTTTTTAAAAATAACTTTTTTGTACTCAAAATTTGGCCCTCATAGATGGAAGCAATTTACAAATTTTAAAGAACAAAAAATAAAAAATAAAATAGTTGTCAAA